CAAAATGGCGTCCTTGAGCGAAGAGCAAAACAAAGTTTTTAATATCGTAGAAAAAGGTTTTAGTGTGTTTATTAGTGGAATAGCTGGAAGCGGAAAATCATTTTTAATTAAATATWTTTTAAAGGAGTTGAGAAAGGGAGCAAGCGGTGTTTTTATCACCGTATCAACGGGCATTGCGGCTCAAAATATATGAGGATCGACAATACATTCATTCGCCGGCGTCGTAACAGGAAAAAATCGGCTCACGAACTAGTGAACATAATCAAGAATAATCCTACTGTTGAAAAGTTTGCCTGATCACATGGCTTTAGCCCTTTTTCGTTACACTCGGTCTTGTAAACTAAATAGTTTTGATAGCTTCCCCATTAGATACGGAAAATAAACTAGTGATTATTCTGTAGAAAAATTCAGATTTCAAATTAACGATTTCAAAAACATTCAAACGAGTGAATCGACAGTCATCTTGAACATAAACTCATACGCTCATGTTATGTAAATTCATAAATTCAGCTTACTTCAAGTTTCGACAAGGGAGCACGTTAAAATATATTGATTGTGTAATCCAGTCATCAATGTGCATAGCAACCGCCCGTGTGCATAGCAATTTGCTACGAGCATAGGACGATAAAATTTCCACCGTTTCACTCCCCTCCTATTACACTCGTCATTCCCTTCCTTACACGATCGTACTGCCATTCGGATCGGCCGAAACCAAAACACTACGAGGAACGCCTGTCACAAGATGGATCGCGCGCGCTAGATAGATCAACCAAGAACAATGACTTTCCTTACACAAACAAAAATTTAATGTGCTCTCTTGCTTCAATGCTTGTCTGTTTGTCCAATCAGTACAACTCCGGGTCACTTCCGGTGATTTTGCTCATTTGTATACTATATCACGGAACGGCTGTCACATTTCATGCTCATTAACCTCAAGGAATTACGAAGAATAAGGAAGAATTCGTACTTTCCACTCCTGATCGCAATCACGGGGAAGCGTCAAGAAAAAATAAGACAATAAGAGTAATACAACAATAGTTTAGTGTGCTTTAATCTTGCCTCTTAATTCTTGGTCGATCCAGCGATTTTTTTTGAGTGAATACTGTGTCAAAATGGCGTCCATTTGTATGGAAAGTACGACAATGCCATTACGAAATGCCATAGTATGTCTTCGTAAATGCCCTTCTGAAAAATGTAGCTCCGGAAATTTGATGTACATTTACTGCCTTAAATGAATCCTGCATTTGTTTCTTTCGGCTTTAAATGTGATATGCGATTTTTGAAGCATTCGTTCTTCAGTCTTCGTCTGCCATATCGAGTAGCCAGGTTCCTCGTTGGCTTGGAAACAACGCTCTTAATCACCAATTTCTATTGAAGACGCACTTTTTTAAACCGAGCGAACACCGTTTTGAGGTATGGAGTCAAGGAAAGAAACCGCGCAAAGCCTGGGACCAAAATAGTTCGCGGGAAATCTTGAAAGTTAATTACTTCTCCCTTCGTAACACGCGCGCTCCTAGCAACTGATACATTTAACT